GAGAGAGAGAGAGAGAGAGAGAGAGAGAGAGAGAGAGAGAGAGAGAGAGAGAGAGTTCTTCTTCTTCCTCTTCTGAGTCCACCATCTCCTTCTCACCCTCTCGCTATCTGACTTCACTGCATCAGCAGACTACTAGAGAGAGAGAGCTTGGCGACATTTGGATCCAGACTCGATGTTGGGCTTCAGACATTTAGACGAGGGATTATTTGGGACTTGTAACGAAGACTTGGTGTTGACGACTTTCCCATATCCCCCCTCCTCTTCGTCTGTGCGCGATCAGGACCTGGCGCATTCTTCCTGTGTGTAGCGCCAGGCCTCCTTCACACCTTGTGATGAAGATGATGCATGTTTAGTCTGCACTGCAACAGTGATTGGGTTCGACATTGGTATTCTAGCATTCTGCTGCGCTATCTTGTACTACGTGAGAGAGGTCAGTCCCGGTCAGGTCAGGCCTTGTATCTCAGTCTTCCCCTGCGCTATAAAGCACCATTGTTGTATGTATCAGAATGTACACTGCTTGTTGAGATTCTACTTGCACTGCATTGTCCATTCAGTCCTTTTTATCACATTGCGGATCCTCGGTTTTATATGTACATCGCCCAACTGGGCATGTAACACAAAGCAAGGATCTTTCTCTTAAAAGTGATGCAATTTTCAGGTGATGTAGTAATGAAGGGGTCATTAGGAAGACGGATGAACTGTAGTTTACTATCTCACTACGGACTGGACAGCCAGTCCCCTCCTCAGAGGGTAACCAATGTTGTTCCAGCTGTGTCAGGTTATTCATTTTGGATTTGTAAAAGGAGATGCTGGACCCACTTTCCAGTATCACCTCCTCAAGCAATTGCCCGCATCAAGATTAAAAATAAAAGGAAAAAAAAAAGTTAAAAAAACAGATATGGCCCCCTGTGCAAGGATTTTGTCCTCGGCAAGCCTGCAAAGGGCCCCCTGCTGCAAGTATAGTGCCGTCCTAAGTGAAGGCGGGCCCCCGTATCTCAAAGAGGCCAGAATATTGCACAATTGGCCTGCCCTGGTGGGCATCAGACGGTTAACATGCTCCAGTTGGTTACATGTGCGCTGCTCGCGAGCATCAGAATCTTCCCTCAGCCTTCCAGGCTCTTCTATTCTTAACTTGGATGCTGGCCTATCGGCCAATCAGAACACAGGGAACACCTCATTGCGTGCTGGGTGGTTGGGCACACCTAACTGCTGTGGGCCCAGGCCACTATCTGAATGGGCCTGGGCGCAGACACTTCGGCCCAACGTGAAGATTCTGGGAAACACGGGCCTCCCAGCCGAGCAGTCTTCAGGCCAGGCTGCTTTCCATATAGAAAAGAGCCTGGCCATGACAGAGACGTTCGGGCACTTGATCGTGCGAGGGGCAGCGCTACTGGAGCAAGGGTTCGCGCCTGCGAGCTGCGCGCTGGGTGCACGAACGCACATGGTCGCTGGAAGAGGGCGTTGCAAGAAGGAAGTGCCATAGCTCGGCCCTCATAGCCGGACTCGAGCTTGGACATAGGAGCAGGGTTTGGCAGTGGTCCTCGGATGGTGGTAGGACATGGGTGAGAAGATGAGGATGGGCATAGAGGGGTGATGTGAGATGCACGTACCTGGTCATCGTGGACGTCTGGGCGCTGAGCACCAATCAGGAGGAAGGGCTCTGGATACATTGCTGGTGGTGGCGAGGGAGTGCTCTCATTGACAATCGAGTTCGGTGCTTTGGTTCTCCTTTGGTGTAATATCAGTGCATTTCTGCTTTCTGGACAGCTTTCGACTTTCTGGCTTTGAGTGTGATTCGGCAATCTGGAATTCTGTCATTTTGCTATTGCTCATTTTCCTTGCACCTGGCTTTGGATTTTGGTAAATATAAGCTCTCTTAAACCACCAGTACTTTTGTGGCACTTTTCTTCGGGGCTGGAATTGCCCGGTGCACCAAAGATAAATGAACGGGCGTGGGCTACCTTTTGGCTGGCGGCGCCTGGCGCCGCCAGCCATTTTGCTCCAGGGGCCAACCCCCGAAAGTTGCAGCAGCGTGCAAGCCGCTTCTTTGAAAAAATGCCCAGGAAACGTACTGGTGGTTAACCTTCCCTTCTACCACCTTTTATGTGTTTTTTGTCCATCGGTGGCTTCAAACTCCATGAGCTCCCAAAGCGAGTAATCAGTATCATGACAGCACGGCATGTCATCACTTCTGTTTCGTGCAAATTAAGCTCAAGCGGAAAGCCAGAACAACTCAAAAATCAACTTTCTTTTCTTTTCTTTTGAGGGGGGGGGGGGGGGGGGGGGGAGAGAGAGAG